GGGATGGGGAATAGGGCGGATAATGTTGAAAAAGAGTATTGAAAAATATTTTTCGTTCTTTTGATAGGGAAAACATTTTCCTCCAATTGGAGGAAAATATTTTCCAAAATATTTTAGCCAACCATACATTAGAAAATTGGAAAACATTTTCTGGAAAATATTTTCCTTCATACCAAACACACCCTTATACTAAGTTATTTTAAAATTATTTGTTAAAATACATCTATACAATCATCCAAAAATGTTATTAACTGATAATTTCAACATGTTGGCTTTAGCATTCTAGTTTATATATTATTTGAGAAATGTTAATTGGGCATTTTATGGATGGTCATTTTCAGATTCAACAAGCATTTTAAGTGGCACATAATAAATAACGTGATCTTCTGCTTCCATTATCAAACAAGTATGACATCTAATCATTTAAAGCATTCAATATAGGTACTGAATTGGTGGATTATCAAACAGCCCCTAATCTTTCTTGTAGAATCAATATCAGAAAAGGTGAACCAACCTTAATTGAGTTTCCAACTAGATTTGTAATTATCTGCCGGAACCGTCCTGGATCTCCGATAACAACTTCTGGGACTAGATCAGAAACATAAACAGCCAACTGTTTCCACGAAAATAACACAAAAACACAATGCATCAAGAATTAGCTAGAGCAATGACAGTAAGAAAACACACACACACACAGAGGGGATCGAAAAGAGTATGTGTTATGATATTGTACCTCAATCCCTTTTTTATGAGATCTTCCTGAGAAGAGTGATGAAACATTATCAAGTACAGCACGGAGATCAAAAGGAACAGCCTCCAGCTCAAGCCTTCCTGATTCAATCTTAGCCTGATCAAGAACCTCATTAATCAACGATATCAAATCTTTCCCACTAGCATGAGCGGTTTGTGCATAATCCAGTTGCGTAGGGTCAAGGTTTGTGTCCATGAGCATTTGAAGCATGCCTGTACAAATTGAAGAACTTATTATCAATATCTGAGCATATATGTAACTAGAATATCCCTTTTCCAGCTCCCTTTCTGTTAATTAAGTTCAAAGTTGTAAAATTAAAGCATGTTAATTACCTAAAACACCATTCATTGGAGTCCTGATTTCATGAGAAACCGTTGCAAGAAACTGTAAAATGAAGGAAGGAGGTGAGTAGAAAAGAAAGGGTATTCAGAAGATGAAAAAAAGAAATGGATCTATTTTAAGAGGATAGGAAATTACTTCAGAACTATGTTATCATGCAACGAGTGAATGCAATGACATGACACCAAGAAAGTAAAACATAATCTGATTCATTAGGTAGATCAAACCTGAGATTTTGCTATATCGGCAGCCTCAGCACGATGTTTGAGTTCCATCATTTCCTGATACTGACCCTCAACTTCAACAATTCGGTTGATGGCAGCATGGAAGATGTGACCAACAAGCAGAGTGATAACGAGGACGCCAACAGATGCAGCTATTGCTGTCCAGGGTGGAGAAGGTTTCTGCTTGAACCTGTGATAAAAGTAAAGATAATTTTAAACTGGTAACACATTCATGGCGTTAAAGTTTACGT